CCCCCAATTCCTCCCTCTTATCCAGAATATTTAACCACTTTCTCTGAATTTTCTTCCACAGCATGTAAATACCCCAGATTCTGTCCCAGAGTATCTATTTTATTAATTTTAATATCTATTAACAACAAACCTCCTCCTACTCTGTGGCTTTCCTCTGGCTGTGGCCCTATTTCCTTCCCTTTACAGTCAGGGTTCCTTTAAGGGTATATGCATACTTTCTACTGAATGAATAGAGGTATCATGATTTATGCAACCTGTTGCCTTTTAATGGACATTTAAGATATGAAGTTAATACTATTAAAAATGTGCTTAATATCCTTGAACAAATATCTCTGTACATCCATGCAAATGTTTCTGTAGAATACAATTCCAGAAATGAAATTATTTGGTCTAAGGAAAGGCACATTACAGGTTGAACTGTATACCCCCCAACATTTGTGTCAAAATCCTAGCCCTAATACCCCAGAATGTAGCCTTATTTAGAGATGGGGTCTTTATGGAGGTGGTCAAGTTAAAATGAGATTATTAGGATGGGTTCTAATCAGTATGACTGGTATCTTGGTAAGAGGGAATCTGGGGACATGGACATGCAGAGGAAAGAGATGAGCACGTGAGGGAAAACAACCATGTAAACATGAAGATGATCATCTATAAACCAAGGGGTGAAGCCAGGTATAGATCCTTCCTTCATGACGCTTAAAAGGAACTAACCCTGCCAACACCTTGATTTTGGACTTCTCCCCCCCCAGTACTGATTAATCTTTGCAATGTTTTGTTAGTTTCAAAGACAAATAAATGGTACTGCCTTTCAATACCCACCTCTGATTTTTTAAATCCAGATTCAGCATTATCTCTGGGTTTTTATTTCCTTTTAAAATATCTAAAATGATTCCAATGAATTGACACTATCAGATAACCATTCAAATCTAGCTATGTGATTTCAATAGTTTTCTACGATGATAAAAAAGGATTAAAAATATATCGAACTTTTAAACATGTTTAACTACTCATTCACTTACTGACAATCTACTGCAAAATTTTCATTCTCTAGGATTATCACACGTTGCATGAAGTTTATTCCTAAAAGGCAAAAAGCTAAACAATTGGAAACTACAGACTTTAAAAACAAAGTTAATTTCATATTTATAGCATGTGAAAATAAGTCCCATATCCAGTAATCTAGTTCATAATGTATTAAGGATTATGCTTTTGAAGTAGTCATTACTGACCTTCTTGTTGGAAACACACTGTTAATTCTATACAGTGTTCTAAAATGGTGTCAAACTACTGGAGCATCATAGTATATTAAAACAAAAATATACCATGTAGGGTTGCAATTGCTTTAAAAAAGCTCTTTTCTGGAGATGATAATAAGGTACATTTGTCCCCAAATCACTCTTTTGTTAATACGCTTATCCTGTTAAAGGATTACTTTCCATCTTCTCTTTCATTTTGTTGGTCTTTGCATGAGTTAAGATGTGAACTTTCAGGTTATTTGACTGAATAAACTTCTTCTGACAGCTTTCAAAGGGGCACACAAAACGTTTCTCCCCAGTATGGATGCGGACGTGTGTGCGCAAATTGTAGTCCAGAGAAAAGCGTTTTCCGCACCCTTCAAAAGTGCACTGAAATGGCTTCTCTCCAGTATGAACCAGAAAATGTCTTTTTAGTTTCGCATTCTCATTGAATGCTTTCCCACATTCTGCACATACGTGATCTCGAGGACCGTGGACAAGGAGATGCTTTCTCAGGGAAGCTCTATTCTTCAACTTTTTTGGGCATCCACTGTGAGGACAAACAATTCTTTCTGGAGCCTCATATTCCTTATCTTTTGTTGGCTTCTTTCTAGCAAATTCTGCAGACTGTTTAGGATCTGGTAAGTCAATGCTGGGTATTCCTCCAGAAGGAAGCTTCTTGCCTATTACATACTCAGAACACTCAAGCTGTGAATTCTCTCCAACAATCTGTTGAGGAAGTTCTTGTTTTGCCCCTTTCTGTGTGGATTTCAAGGATTTTTCCAGAAGTGAGCTTGCTGTAAGAACCTGTTGAGAAAGCTCTTGCTCTGATCCTTCTTCCAGGTAGTCAAGGGATGAGTCTTCTTCCAGAATGGGTTCAGAAAACTCACCTCTAATTATGCATTCTATGTAACAGTCAGAGAAGGAGTCTTCTCTAACAACCAGATGGCTCGTCTCAAAGAACACACCTTCATCTTCCAAGGCCCATGTTGTGTTGGGAAGTTCCTTCTGGACTGGTCGTGGCTTAGATGGCCTTGGCTTATCCCTCCCGAAGGCTCTTCTACCCAGGCCTTTCTGGCCACAAGTTTTTGCCCTCTTCTTCAGTTGCTGGGCCATAGTGTCCTGCCTGCTTCTTCCTTGAATATTTGCACCAGGATATATCAACCACTTCCAAGTGACAGTGATCTGAGTAAGCTGTCTTCAGCAAACACCTCCTTTGAGATAGTAACCTTTAGATAAAATATAGTCCAACTTTAGAACCACTGTCAGAAAATGACCTAAAAAAAATGGCCTCACATTCACTTTTCAGTAACAAAATGGTTGCATTGCCTTCTTCTCTGACAAACCCAAGGAAGAGAATGAACTGTGACATAGGATGTAGGTCATAACTCTATCTTATGTGGGTATCCCCACAAATTATCTGACCTCTCCAACTGACCACCTCACGTTATTGGGCACTCACTATGTGCTAGTCCTACTCTAGGCTACTCATGGGTTGAGTTCCATCAGTAAGTGGACACAGAAAAAAAATCTATGCCTCCTGGAGTATACATTCTCCTGAACACACAAAGTATTACACGCCACACGTTAAAAGGTAAACTGCTACACTGGGTGTTGTATGACTTCTACTCCAGAAACCAGTATTACACTATGTTAACTGTTACAAAGTTAAAGAAAAAAAAAAAAAAAGAAGCCCAATGTAAGATGCCGCAAATTCTTTCCTATAGTTTTGTAAGGATGGAGGATGGACCTTACACTTCAAAGCAGAAAGCAACAACGAAAGCATTAATTCTAATTTTCCTCATTTTGAAATCATACTTATAATCAAACTTTCTCTTTAGTTTCCCTTACTCAGCCCTAACTCATTGTTATTTGACTAACTGTTCATGTAAGAAACTTCCCCATCTATGAAACCTAAATTAAAGATAGTCTTAAAAATTGAAAACAAAACAAAAAAGGTAAAGTGTACAGAATAAACAAAAGGGCTGGTAGAAAGGAATTCACGATTTTAAATTGGGAGCTCAGGAAGGCCTTGACTGCGGAGGCAGCAGGTGACTAAAAACTTGAAGGAAGTGAGGGTTGCCTATGGTGAACACTGTTGTGAAATTCAAATGAAATAATGCATATAAAGTGCTTAGCACAGATCATGGCACAGAGCTAATGCTGAATGCTTACATGAACTAGTGTTATTTTACCTTTGTATTCATTCTTAAGTATATGTTGGATCCTGAGATATGCCAGATACTATTCTAGACCAAGGGCAGCATTTTTTTTTTTTTTTAATTTAATAAAGAGCCAGATTTACGCTTTGTGGGCCCCATGGTCTGTGCCATAACTGCTCAACTCTGCTTCTGTTGCACGGAAGAAGCCATAGCTGATTCATAGAGGGGGAGCTGTGTTCCAATAAATAAGCAGATGCTGGATCTGACCCATGTGTAGTTTCTACTTCTACAGAAAATGGAGATTCAGAGGAAAAAAAACACATGAAATCCATGCATTTCCATGCACAGGGGAGTTTGGCCTTGAATACTTTTCTTTTTCTTAAAAATCTAAAAGCAACATTGTAAAAGTTACACCATGAATATGTTATAATCTAGGAGCCTTTTGCCTAATGTTAGGATTGCATGCCTTATAGAAGATCTCTCAATTTTATTATCCTGATGTCCTGTTCAAGGAACAGAAATAAATCCTTTTTAAAAAGGAGTAAATGTGGGGGCTCTTGGGTGGCTCAGTCGTTAAGTGTCTGCCTTCGGCTCAGGTCATGATCCCAGGGTCCTGGGATCGAGCCCCGCATCGGGCTCCCTGCTAGGCAGGAAGCCTGCTTCTCCCTCTCCCACCCCCCCCGTTTGTGTTCCC